AACAGTCTAAATGAAAAGTTTGGAATAAATTACTGGCTAACTTGAGTGTCTGTGTCACTATAATGAGTAAAGTAATTTAAATAAAATCTTGCTTTGAGCACTTGTTTAGCATGCTTTCTTTCAATGTACTGCATCTGCCATCTTGTAAAGGAAAACTTGGTAGCCCCGCATTCAAAGCATTGTGAAAGATTGGATCAGGTCTCTCGCGAAAAATGGTGACCGGCTCAATGAAAATCTTACCCATGAGAGTATTTTCTTGACTGCAGCCCTGCAAATGATATTTCTATTTGAATTCTACAGTTATACACACTTACCTGTGATACAAAAAAGTGCATTTTGTCTGGAGACTTTCTTCTGTCCATGATTTTTCCATTAAATGGTCCAAAGTACTTTCCCTTTGGAATATGCATGTGGGCCAAAAGTCCTGCACTGCGTAATTCAGGGGGGAGATGTGCATCTTTCTTTTGTATCTGAGAAGGCCTGCCTATAATGAATATTAAAAGAAGTGGCTTCCATGGAAAATTTATTTTCTGTTTATTATCTGCTAGTCTACATGTATTCAAACTATTCTGTTTGGAAACAAAGTTTTTTGCTGAAGACTCAAAAACCTTTTCTAGGATACTTCAGGTGATATATCCCAACCTTTGCAAGAAGTATTCTGAACATAGAGGATAATGTGCTAAAGTCAGGAGAATGTGACAAGAAAATTTAAATAGGAATTTCCATACTACACAAGGTTACATGATAATTATATTAAGAAATAGAAATCACGTACTGTGTCTATCAAGTTATAGGAACACAAGTGGAAGTTTGGGAGAAAGAGAAATGCTGTGGGAACACAAGACGAGAGACAGGTGTTTCGGCAGCTTTTTTAAGTTCTCCCAAACTTCTACTTGTAAGTGTTTCTTTAACTCAGTAGGAACATGGAGAACATATTTTCCATTTCTCTTAGAAATTTAACGATGCCAAAAAATAAAACAACTTATTTACTTTGATCATCAAAATGTAAATTCTCTTTGCTTGCGCCATCATTACCTAAACAACTCATCCTAGTTCTGTGTTTCTATATTGAGTTATGGAAACACAATTTTACACCAATCAGTGGGCATATTTTCTTCAGGCTATTTTCTAAAGCTCATTAGAGGTACCATCAAAGAAAATTTATGTTTTGAATTTCCAGTTTTTATTATTAGGCCAATAAGAAGTCGGGGGGGAACACGATGGAAATTACAAGCTTATAGTTTATCAGCTTAATTAACGCATGAATCGAGTTTTTTTTCTAAATTTATCAAAAAACGTTCCATAGTCAAAACACGTTGAACGTAGGAAATTAAGGGAATATAAAGAAATATTAAATATGTTTCTTTTTTTTACCGGCGAAAGAACACTGCTTTACACGCAGGGAAAGCTGTCAAAATTTTCCCACTTCCTCTCGTTCGCTTTGCCAAAAATGCAAATGAGATCATATGTCACACGGATCAACACACGCACATTTTCACATTAGCAGAAACTCGAATATTTTCAGGATATTAACAGCTGATGTGTCTTATCTCCGTAGGTAACTGAACAAGACTTCTTTTTACTTTTTCAAAGATATTTCCGCTGCAAAACAAGGAGATTTTGATCAAGTATTCGCCGAAATATTGATCCGTCATTCGATACACGGTTCCACAGTTCCTACATTGCAAGCATCAACTTGAATACATGTACTTTCGATTTCAACAGTGCAAGCAACAGGGTAAAATCCATACCTTTCTTCTTCTTTCCTTTCTTCGAAGAAGTCGATGGCTGTTCTTCCGGGCTATGCAGTCTCACACGCTTACTAGCAGTCGGACTTTTCCGCCCTGCTCGTAAACCTTCTCGAACGCCGCGCTCTTGCGATTTCCTTTTCGTTGTGCGTTGGGGCCTTGACTTCATTCGCGCCATCACCTCAAAAGCTCTGAGCCAATTTATAAACTCAAAATGGTCAAATTAGTGCTTTCTCGTTCAATAGCATTACCAGATGGAGAAAACTGTGGCAGGGAGGAAGCGAATCGCTTCAACAGTCCACACCCGCGTCTCAACTGTCCGCCATAAGTTCATACCATTCCGACGAGTTTTATCTGACTGATCACGTGATTAGTCTCCCACCGAAGGAGACTGGGGACGCTTTCACTCGACGAAATTATTATTTCCGGAAATTTCTAATGGCGAATGGAACTGCACTTCCGGAATTTCCGGGCAAGAGGACAACCTCGCGAGGTATACCCAAATGTTCGGAAATCTCTTACAGGGAATGTATTTCCCCACTGGAATTTCTGGAATATTCGGTTGAATGGTTCGCATTTCGGAAATAATAATGTAACGATTTTCTGATTTCCTAGAAACTTACTTTCCAAGGAATTTCTCTCTTTTGATCATTTTTGATGAATGGGAGGCGCCCTGAGTAAGAACAAAATAGATTTTGGAAATTAGGAAGAGTCAAAATCAGCTCCTAATGAATTTCAGAAAATTCGCTTGTTGGGTGCCCCGTGCCTTTATTTAAGCTTATGTTCCAACAAGTGCTCTTTGTGGCAAGGTCTGTGTAGCGAACGACAAAGGGCTCATGAATCTCACGCGAAATCGCGAATAAATCAGAACATCGAAAGCGACCTCTACGTCAACATGGCAATGTGGACACCGCTGAATCAAATCGATTAAATACTCTTTTTCTTTGTCCATCGTAAGAAATAACACGCAAACTGCGCTGATAAATATGACAATAAAACGCATTGTTGGAAAACAGAAATTAAACTATACCATTTAACTTGACGTTTCGTATGTTTCGACATACATCTTGAGAAGTGACCGTGTAGTTTAGGATAGAAGTAACAAATAAATTTTAAATTTAAAATAAGTAACTAATTAACAATAACAACGACAGAAGCTGAAAAAAAATTACATATGAAAAGATGCAAACTAATTAATAACGATAAAGCTTTTCGCGGTCCTCATGCATGCACCTTCAAAAAAAGTTTTAATTTATCTGCTATCGCACACCACGTCACGTCAACTGGTCACAACTTAAACCAGGAATACTTTGAGATATTAGTAAAAGGTCGGTCAGATACATATTGTAAGATAAAAGAGACTCTGCTAATTAGGGAAATGATAGTGTTAGCCCTTGGAGAGTTGGAGCACGCACTAGATAGAGTGATGACGTCACAAGTGGTATAAGGACAGTGTTGCTCAGAATGCTCTTTGGATGGGTTTAGCTGTAAGTCCACTTTTGTCGCATTTTTTAACCCTTATTTAATACTTTGCTTCAATAGATACAGCGAATACCTTGTCTTGACAGGTGTCAATTGACCATAACATGGACATGCACGCTCATGGCTGTATACCTCGGTCGGCCATTAGCACGGGACGGGGGTGCAAAAGTTGATCTTAAACCTTACCACATGACAAGTTTGAAAAATATCTGAAGTGGGAACATTTTAGGCACGAAGGTCCTTAAGCAGTCAATTCTGGTCAGAGAGAGAGGAAAATAAATGCATTTTGTCAATTTTTTTGCCTTTATTTCTTACCTCGATTCAAAGGGACACTGTCACCATCTTTACCATGATTTTGGTAATCTCAAAAACATATATCAATCATTGGAAGCTAAACAATAATGGTTCTATTTTGCAGAGCAGTACTCGACAAATGATTAAACCCATTAGGAAGTGAGGATGGCTAACGATGGCGAGGATGGAAACGGATTGTGATATGGATTTTTGAAAAAGCGTCAGGATGTCAGTTTTTCAAAGGTTCAAGTTTGGCTCATAAATCGTTGAAATTTTGCAAAAATGTTGCTACGGTGTGGACAATCTTCAAGAAATTGCTTTTAATCATCTAGTTAGAGCTAATTAAGTTCTTATTACATAAATTTAGGGACCATTTCGTGAATTTATAACAGTTTTCAGCAAATATATCGTGACAGTGTCCCTGCAATCAATCAACTACAAGCGTGCGTTAACAACTGAGATAATAGTGAGAATCATACAAAAGCTTAAACCCAACATTCGCACGTAAAATACGTCAGCTAAATACGAGTGTCTCTCTCTGGCAACAACTCGATACCAGGACTCACGCCAGTACATCAAATATACTCTATGGTACACTGATCTTTGTTCAATGTACATGATTGCTCGCACGTCTCTGCCTCACTCGAACACTGCAGCGCACAGTTGCCTCTGGTACATCTCTGTTCACATGCGGTTCCGTGGCATTCCAGACCGCAACCTCCACCGGTACAGCTCTGTTCACAAGTGTCAGCCTTACAGATAACTGAGGCGCAGTCACCACCGGTACAGCTGAATTCACATCTTGTGGGGGCCTCACATGTCAGGTCACAATTTCCACCTAAGAAAACGTTAGGACTGATTTAATAAACTTGAAATATTTTTGCCTCACATTACACCACACCTCACTACACCGCAAATCTACCATATGCAAAAAAATTGCAGCAGAATCGATATGATGGAAATTACAGGACACTTCTTAGAACACTTAATAGTAAATATTTTGTGATCGTCTATTTTGGAATAAGGGCTAATATTTCAGGACAAAATGTACAATGCTTNGCAGTCACCACCGGTACAGCTGAATTCACATTTTGTGGGGGCCTCACATGTCAGGTCACAATTTCCACCTGAGAAAACGTTGGAGCTGGTTCAATAACCTTGAAATATTTTTGCCTCACTACACCACTCCTCACTACACCGCAAATCTACCATATGCAAAAAATGGCAGCAGAATCGATATGATGGAAATTACAGGACACTTCTTAAAACACTTAATAGTAAATATTTTGTGATCGTCTTTTTTGGAATAAGGGCTAATATTTCAGGACAAAATGTATAATGCTTGATATCGTTATTATCATTCTCTGTGCTGTGTTATCTCTTGGTCTTGTCTGTTGTTTTCACGTGTCAGTCACAACCTCGAAGGTTTACGCCCCGTGCACACTACGGCTACGCCTACCGTCCACACTAATCCATCACGAAAACGGAGCTTTTCCAAAACTTTTTTGGGGGCTTTTGTATTGGATTGTCTTGTCTTGTCTTGTCTTGTCTTGTCTTGTGTGTGTGTTGTGTTGCGTTGTATATTCAAGGGGAAGGCTTTAGCGTAGTCTCCTCAAATAAACTATTTCAGTTACTTCCTCTCCCCC